TCCAGACAAATTGGTACAGGGTCTTTCTGCTATATGAGTTTTAATTTTGAGGTAGTTGTTGCATTAGTTCTGTAACTATCCCATTATGGGCTAATATAGAAAGGAGGTAATAACATTTAGAGTGTTTAAAAATTAATAGCTAGGCTGAAAAGTATTGTTGTGACTCATGAATTTCTGTGGTGGGTAACTAATATGCCTTAAAATTCATGATTGCAGCGAGATGGGGTGGAGGGGTGGGCTCAATAACTTTTGTAGTCATTAGTCAAGTAATTTTGTAGCCATTAGCCAAATGAGGCTAACAATGTTAGTATTTCAATGGGAAGACTTTTTAAAAAGTGTTCAATATAAAATGTGCGACTATTGATTATTATTTTCCCCCTTTTAACATTGTTCCTTTGAAGAGTCTTCTTTGGTCTTGGCACATTGGTTTTGTCCATGTGGTGTAAATTTCTAAATGTTCAACTGAAGTTGGATTTTCAAAACTAGGTTTAATAGCTACAAGTCTGTACTTCATTTCTTGAAATAACATTTAGTAACAGCAGTCAACAGTATTGTATTTGTTAACAACAGTACATAGTTTAGAATACATGTATTAAAGCCATATTTTGTCTGAAGCAGGATATACCTTTGCGTAAGATTACATACCAGTTTTTGAATACCGGTACTTATAGAAACACCAGGTCACATTGTTATATGCCCTGCTTCTAAGTCTTGATATTGATTTGATATAGTAGTTGTTAAAAATATTTGAATGGGACTTGGAAGATATTCATTCAACATTTCTCTCTGGGCATGAAGCTCACTGGATGGTGTTATATTGCATGGCTTGATATTTCTGGGCTAAACCCAAATGTTAGTCTCAGTTTGAATGGGACTTGGAAGATATTAATTCAACATTTCTCTCTGGGCATGAAGTGGGCAATATAACACTGGGTGGTGTTATATTGCATGGCTTGATGTTTCTGGGCTAAACCCAAATGTTAGTCTCAACTACAGCAGACCAATCGAATCATTGGAACTTACTAAAGTATTTCCCTGTGAAGTCCTGTTCATTCTGGGGATCCATTCTGGTTGGGATAAACAACTCAATTTAGTGTTCTGTGTTCGAGATGGCTGATACATTCTCTTCCCCAAAGTATGACAATTGCCTCTGACAAATAATCCCTGTGGACTAGGAATGCTTCATTTGGTCTCCTGAAAGAATTAGACCAGCTATGAGCAGGGTTAAAAACATGCCTGGTACTAAATTTGGTAACCCATTTTACTTTTGTCTTTGAACTAGACAGGGAACAAAGGCAAATGCTTTTGGACTAAACAAGAAAAAAATATTAGCAATCAGATTTCCACAGCTGGAACTACAATATGCCTTGCTGTGGACAATAAGAAGAAAGTGAACCAGTGACTGAAATCTTGTTGCACAGATCTGCATGCACAATGGGGATGAGGTCTTCAGCAGTGGCAAATAGTTGTAATTTCAGGGTGCATGTGGCTCCTACACAATGCAGCAAAGTCACATGCACACCGAAGTCAGAATACTGTTGGTGATTTGCACACATTGAGTTAAAGACTCACATGATAAATTGACTGCTTACTACCTAGGCGTCGGTCACTTTACTAGGTGTGCAGTTGTTGCACAACAAGGCAGTATCTCATAACACCACTGGTAGCTTGTTAGCCACAGTTTGCTTTTGTTTATTATGCAGTTCAATTAGCGCGCACATAAATCACCAACGGTAGATGGAAAATGGCAGCAGATACCATAACAAACTCACTTCCTGTGTGTTTAAAAATGGTCTAACAGGGCAATCCTATCCAGATCCAATCAGAATTAAGTCTCACTGTGTTCTGCAGGGTTTATTCTCAGATATCTGGGTATAGGGTTGCAGCACACATGTCTTCTAATCACAGCTTCCCTGCTTCCACACAAACTGCCTCCAGAAGTATGTATTTACTGGAAACTAGACATGATTACAGAAAAATAAATATTTAGGCATCGGGAAAGACCATTTATATACAGAAATTAATAAATAAACAAACCTATACACTGGAGTAAGAACCCAACAGATTTTACTTCTGAGGAAATTTGCCTCAGTTTGTACTGTAAGGCTACTGCGTGAACAATTTTCTTCCAGATAACCTTCATTGAAGATTGAAAGTTGTCCCTTGCTACATGTGCCGAGTGCAGAATGCAAATTAGTGTGTGTAAACTTGGTAACCTCCATTATTTAATTACCCTTGTGGTGCAATTTAAAAAGATTCCAAGCCAGTGGATAGTAAGAGTGACTTGAAAAGGGGTGATGATCTTTTTCAGTATCAAGATGGCGATCCTCATATTCTCTATGCTAAATACCCCAGAAGGGCTCCTCCTCTGTCCCAGGAAGCTGGCATTTGTCTCCCTGAGACTCCTGCTGAGAAGAGTAATTTGGAGGAGTGTCAAGAAATGAGGATATAAGAGGGTAAATGAAAGCAAGAGAAGAGGTTTGCTGTGGTGGACAGGAAACAGGTTTTTCAAAAATTCCCGCAGCTGTTTCCCTCTTTCCAGAACTCAAAACAATGAATGGTGGTAGAGAATGCGATTTTTCTATTTTGGGGCAGGATTTTAATACATTTTTCTGGCAAGATTTTATTATAGTCATCTAATTTGCAAGGCAATTTAATATAAATATAAAAAATTTCTGCCAACTTAAACTGAATTAAATTTGGGGGGGGAGTTTAATTTGCAATTGCCTAGACTGTTAACCATTTTCTACTAACTTTCCCATCTCTACCTTTTAATGAAACCACTCCAACAAGGAAATAACTGTGGATGCCGAATTTGCCTCAGGATGGTGTTCCCTGGAAAACATACCAGTTCTATCTGAACCATTATAGATATAAGTTATCCTCTTGTGTAAAAAACCTGTTTATACAACATTTTATCTAGCCATGAAAAACATTACTACTATGAAACACTGGAAATTGTGTCACAAAGGATTTTACCATGATTAAAGAAGTAACTGAGTTCCTTGAAATTCCTGAGTAACATAAATAAAGTTTTTTTACCAAAGTTTGAATGAACTATATGAGCCCTGTTCAAAAATGGAGTTTGAAGACTAAATATATCAGTTTTCAGCACTTTTTAATTTGTGAAACCTGTAGCAATTTTTATTGGATTGCTATGGTCTGGTATACAGTCGTTGTAAACCACTGCATCATGTAGATTAGGAATGCTTAATGGATGTCATTTTTGTAGGCAATAAACTGTGGAGGCTTATAATGGTAGACTTTTTTGTGACTCTCCTTAACTAAACACACAGTTCTGTGTCGTTTGAGTATGAGCTGGAATTTAATATTGTAAGCAACTAACTAAGTAAACAAAGACACAGATCTTAGCAAATCTCAAATTTTGGTAAATCACAAAATCTTGATTTTCTGTTTTTTGCTTATATTTTGTCTTTTTCATGCACTCTGTTATGGTGATCAAATTCGCTTGCATGACAAATGAATATATATATCCAATAACATTTCCCTGTTGGTGTTGTGCACTGATTTAGCTTCTGAGAAAGGATTATCCTAAAAACATCATGTCTGTTTATGTATCAGAACCAAGAGCTATTGATAGGGCTTCAGCAGCAAAATAAGTCATTACTCAGTGTGTGTGAAGGAGAGCAGGGAAATCAGAGTATTTGCCAAGTATTTTATTGTGATAGATTCTTAAGGCTTGTAACCTGTCTGTTTAGGGTCTGGATAACATAGCAATTGAAAAGAATGCTCAGTCATGTCCATGAAATGTGAGGTTTGAAACATCTCTACTGAAGTTAAGTAAATGGGCTTTTCCCACTGTAGTGGTTTGAGCTCATAGACTTACTAAAACAAATAGAAAACTGGATTTTTTCCATTAAGGGCCCAGTGTACTGCCTGTGACCTTATAGGCATACATTTGTCTAGCCACTGAGTCATGGAGCATATACAGTATTGTGTAACTTTCATTTCTTTGGAGGCTTGTTATATTAGAAAAATTGTTCCAAAGAAAGCAACAATTATGACATAAGCACATCTGGCTCTAGCAAATTATTCTTTATTAAGCTTTCATTTAATTGCATGTGATGAAAGGTCTGCTTTTGATTACTGTAATTTTTTTTATTTGTCCATCTGAATGATAGTAATACTGGAAATTACATACAAACCACCTGTTTTTGTTTTTGTTGTTCTTTTTACTAATAAAGCAAATTTTATACAGATTTATTTGTGAGAGAAGGACTAGGATCTTCTCTGTTTATAGTGGCTGAATTATTACTTGTGCTAATTCAAAGTGAGGTTTTAAGGTTGGCTGCTAGAGCTGAATTAAACCTATTCAGTTTGTTCAGGAAATGCTTTATAATGTTTTAGGAATATATGACTTAATTGGACATATTCTGACAGGGTCTGTTCAACTTCTGAAATGTTCAGGAAGTTGAATGTGAGCTACATAGTAATATTTAAAGTTGTACTCATTTTCCTATCTTTATGAGTAGGGATTTACACTTCTAGTCATATTAATAGTAAAAGATATTAGGTATGTATAATCTGTATACTTAGAGGTAGAAATAAAAACAGTTGATGACTTCATATCAGTGAAAAACAGTATGACATTAAACAAAAGAAGACTTGGGCAGGTTCCTATAGTATTCTATGATACTGAACTGGTATTTGCAACTTGGTGTTAATATATTTAATGGGTTTTATCTGGTCTGTGGATTGTAATAAACTTGATTTGACTTAACTGCATTGTATAAATTTTGATATGTGCTCATTAATAAAGAAGTATGCCATGCCTCTTGTAATAATTTATCAGCTCTGGTATGTTACCAGAGAGCTCATGTGTTTCCCTAATAAGCTGCAACTTGGGTGTGAATCCTTAGACCTGTCTTCTCAAATGGCAGTATGTTAAGTACTGGCAACAAGCTGTGTTTTTACTCAAGGGTCCTATGCAGGAACAACTCCAGAACTTCTTAAAGAGCAACGTTATTCTTGTTTTCCAGCAACTCTATGCTGCTCAGTTGGCCAGCATGCAGGTTTCGCCTGGAGCCAAGATGCCCTCCACCCCTCAGCCACCAAACACAACAGGGACACTCTCGCCTACTGGGATGAAAAATGAAAAGAGAGGGACCAGCCCTATAACTCAAATTAAGGTATTTTATTCATTCTGCTTTCATGAACGTTCCATCTGTAAAACAGTACCCTGTAAATTTACTGTACTCTGTCATTTGTTTATTTATTTATTTTATTTATATTTTGGGTGGTGAGAAGGTCATATTTAATTTTCCTTACAGTACTGAGTTGGTTATTTTTGTAACTAGCACTTGAAAACGTGGTTATACTATCAGGACTTAGAGACAACACAGAGATCTCTAGTGATAATTCAGCTTTGCTGGGCCATTTACAGGTACAGTATCTGGATTTTTTCTGCCACAGTAGCCCTACTAAGTCACTACTTACATGGTTATCTCCATGAGACAGCCTAGTTTTTCTCTTTCACTGTCTGCTTCTCTGGACAGTTATATGTCTGCAGAGAAGTTCCAGTTCATGTGTAGGCTCTCCATGGGCTTAAGAATTTCCAGGGTTCTTGCTCTCATGGAGAACATGCACAGGAGGAGGAGAACTTTTCCTCAACAGACACATTACTCTCCAGTTGGAAAAAGAGACAACAGAAAGATAAGAGTTACCTCTTATGGAGAACTGGGTAAGAACTAAATAGGGGTAGTGTCTATTATCTCTTATCAAGTATAGTTATCAAGATTCCCTGATCTTGCTAAGGGTCCTTGGTATTGACTTTGATCTCAGCTTATCCCTCAAGTGTCTAAACAAATCAGATATTAATGGGACCAGATTTATTGTTTTTCCAGGATGAGAGATAATACAAATTGGATTTTTTTAAAAAAATTGCATATGTTGTGGCAGCAGATTACCATGAATTTATAAGATCTTGATTGTGTGCCTGAGGATACAACCAGCACCTTGGTAATTAGCAACAATTTCCTTCTGTAGCTTGTGTAATTTTCTGTACATAAAAGACAATATGTGGAAAACACCAATATATTTTTGGCCTCTGTCTACTACTTCACTCATTTATTATTTTGGATGAGTGCAACCTTTTTTTCTTTTTCTTCTTTTCTTTCCTTTTTGTATAAGATATAGTGAGCCTTCTTAAGAGTATGTGAATAGAAATGAGCCAATATATAGTCAGCAGTTTGATTCCCAAACATAGGACATATCAAAAAGTCTCCACGATTCTGAAGTTGTATGTATAATTGTTGCAGGTTCTGTGTTCAGCATAACCTGGGCAGCGCATCTGGCATATGTGATGTGTAAAAAGCGTGCTGCTGTAATTTGATAGTGATCTCATAAATCTTACTAATAGTGCAGTAAACATGTCCAGTATTTTTTTTTTAAAAAAAATATTTGCCTTTTAATGTGTGAGATGGCAAGGGAAACCACAGCACTTTTACTTATTTTACAAATCAATCATTGTATTGAAAGAAACCTCAGATAAAAATATAAAATAAAGGCGGGTGGCTGGAGGGAAAAAGGAACGAAGACTATCACTGGTAATTGATTGGGAGGGGAAAAATGCCATGGCTGCAGATTGATTGGACCCTTGCTGATATCACAATGTTGCTGGTATTTGGATTGTTTCTAATTGGTTTTGATGTATTGTCAAAAGCTCATGCATGCTTAATTGTTACTTTCTCCAGAACTAGGAAGCTAGCCCATGGTATGAAATGCCAAGCTCCTTTCCAGCCTTTTGTGGGCAGCTGACATATACTTGTTTGTTACATCCCATATCACTCTTCTTTTCCTAAGACAAGTATCAATACCATCTATAAAAAGTGAAATAAAAATTATAATATATATTCACAGTTAACATAGACAGTGCAGTGGCTCAAATAATGTCTTTTCTTTATCTTGCCAAGATTGTCACTTTAAGCATTAGATGAAACATTGATGAACTTTACATATTTCTGTAAGTCCTTCATTGCTGTGATATTATATGACTATGAAACCACTGCTTTTGGACAGTAGCTCATTTTCAGTTGATGGCTCCAACGAGAGTAGAACCATTGAACAGTTACTGGTCAGTCAGTCAGTATCTGTCTGTCTGGATTAGATCCTTAAAAAAACAAAACAGTTTCTGTGCCTGGATAGTCCTCTGAACTTCTTCTTCTTCTTCTTCTTCTTCTTCTTCTTCTTCTTCTTCTTCTTCTTCTTCTTCTTCTTCTTCTTCTTCTTCTTTATTATCATCATCATCAGAGAAGCATGTAGATGTGTGAAGACTTCGGTAGGGCAAAGATCGCAGTCATCGTAGGTTCCAAAATAGGAAAAAGAATATCTGCACAGAATTGCAATGAGAATACTGTAGATACCGTTTAGGTGCTGTTTGGAGCATGACTAGGCAGACCATGAAGGGCTGCAGATCCTTACTGGTGTAGACTCTGGAGACTGATTGGATAGGGTAGGGCAATACAGCCAGTCTCCAGCCCCATTAGCCAGAAGGATTTGACCATAACCTTCCTAAGAATTTCTAATGCCAGGGTCCTGAAAGCTTTGCAATTGACTGAAAAACACTGTATTTTCATTGATGTCTACAAGTTACAGTGTCTACAAGACAATGGTGGAGGGATTTATTTGTTTCTTTAAAATATTTCACCCTGCCTTTCACCTTAAAAGGATCCAAGGTGGCTTATATCATTAAAAGATAATATTAAAATCCTGAAAACAGTAGGTATACAAATATTAAAAAGGAATTAAACAAATATTATATTAAAAATGGGAAAGAGAATCAATACTAAGAACACATTTTAAAGCAACAGAGCATAACAATCCATCTAGAAAACCTATCTCCAGACAACCAGTCACTAAGGAGAGCTCTGCTTGAACAGAAAGGTCTTCACCTGTTTGCAGAAGGACAGCAAAGATGGAGCCAGCCTGGCTTCCCATAGGACAGCATTCCAGAGTCTGGGAGCAGCAATAGAGAAGGCCTTCTCCCACATCACCACCAAGCACACCTGTGGAAGTGGTGGGACAGAGAGAAAGATGTCCCCTGATGATCTTAATGCCTGGGCAGACTTATAGATAGCTTGGACCAAAGCTATTTAGGGCTTTATAGGTTAAAACCAGCACTTTGAATTGTGCCCAGAGATGAAGAATATATAGCAATGGCCTAGAAATAACGTAAACTGCAGATGGAGTGTAATGGGACAGCTATTTGTACGTTTGTTGCATTGGCCTATTTAATACACTATATATAACAAGATGTTATGTAGAAGCTCAACTTGACAGAAGAATGGCAACGATAAGATAATGGAATACATTATTGTATTCTTTCATATATTTCTAAGCTTCGCACTATTCAGTGGTGTCTGTTAAAATATAAATGATGCACCCTTATATCCAGCATGCCTCAGCTTTGGGCATATTTTAAATGAGAGAGCCATGTTACTTTTTCATTTTAATTGCAGAAAATCCGTATTCTGCTGTTCCAGAAATGCTGTGCCTGGCTGATTGCTAACAAGTTCAATGCAGAGTACAAGCTCTCCAATGAACAGAGCGAGGTTGTGTCGTAAAGGGGAGTGCTAGATCAAAAGAGCAAGTGTCTTAGATTCTTCATTTCCCAGAAGTTAGATGGTCCTTAATGTAAGATCCGTATAGGTTTTCCCTATATGAGTTATTTAGCCCCAGTTTTATCCTTTCACTGGCATACAGCACACCACGAAGCGAGTGGATATAGGAGCATAATATCTTTGATAACTAGATGAGCTTTCATCCACTGATGTCAATACCAAATTCAGAAATTTACATGTCACCCTGCCTAACTTAGAAATTCTTTGTGTATTCTAAAAATTTAGTGGCCAAAAGGCTGCTGGGATTTTACACTCATGTGTAACTTTGTGCTAATGTAAACTGGATTGGAGTGCTGCAGATGATTAATTTAAACTGATTTAAAGCTTCCTAAGCCCTCGCGAAGAGTCGGACACAACTAAACAACAAACAACAAAGCCCTCCACCCTGTTTCAGCTTCCCAAGGATCTCAGGGTCCTCTTTTGCCACGAGGAAGCCTTTGAGAACCTTGATATGGAGAGGGAGGAGACTTTAAACGTCAAAAACCACTGCCAGATTGCTGCTGCTATGGAATTTTAAGGTTTACTTGTCCGTGTAATATGATGTGGACTGGATACAGTGTTTACTCTGCTGTTGCATACTGTATAGGAATTGGGTCCCTTGGGGCTACACACATCCTAATAACTAACAATTTATCCTGCATTCTGATTCAATGAAACACAGTACTCACACTCTGGCATTGTAACCCCTGTGCCATGCACGGGGACAAATGCAGCAGCACTGGTACAGTACCAGCAACAACAACTGATGATTCAGCACTGTTTCTAAATATCACCCAGCAGTTGTATGCATGCTTTTTGCAGGGCAAGTCTTTGATGACTCCTCAGATTGCATTGAAAAGGTCCCAGTCATGTAATGGAGACCCCGTGCATTGCCTTGTACCTGTAATACAAGGGAATGCAGTGAATTGAACTGCATTCTTCAAGCTGTCTCATGCTGCGTTAGCCCTAATATGAATCACAGTTTAGTACAGTGGTGCCTCACAAGACGAATGCCTCGCCAGACGAAAAACCCACAAGACGAATGGTTTTTGCGATCGTGTTGGTGACTCACAAGATGGCTTCTTGTATGGCCGTGCTTTGCAAGATGAATTTTTTTCACAAGACCGATGCCTCGCAAGAAGAAAATAATTCATTCGTCTTGCGAGGTTCCCATAGGAATGCATTGCAATGCATTTTTATGGGAAACTGCTTTTCGCAAGATGAAAATTTCACAAGACAGCACTACTTGCGGAATGAATTACTTTTGTCTTGCGAGGCACCACTGTACAACAGTGATAGGAGGATGCTCTTTACTTTCACTGGCGTAACATACTGACTGCTTGCAAGCTTCATCCTTCATTTAAGCTGTTGTGCCCCTCTCCTCACTCTTTTGTGCCTTCCATTTCTACCGAGGTTATACACATGTTCAAACATATGGTTACAGTAGGGAAAGATGAATATTAATGCTGAAGTTATTAAGCATTTTTCCTTCTTTAATATTGCCCATACCTTTTAATGAATGCATAGTTATAAACAACTTTAACAGAAACTTCCAGGAACTTTTCAAAAAGACCCAGCAAAGCAACAGAGCTGTTAGATTTTTATTTTTTTAAAAAATTCTTTGTATCTGGCCTAGGTTAATTTAGATCTCAGAAAACACATTAGGAAATTAAGCATTAATGTGAGCTAATTCAGCTTTTAATTTGTCAAAAAGACTCATCCAGCCACATAGTTAATGTAAACAGAGGCACAGCACAGAGAAATTAATGAGGGCTTCCTTTCACTGAATCTTCAAGAAGTGTAGGTAATTAGCTTCCTTTGTTATTATTGCAGGAAAGTACAGCATTGTCTGGGAGGTGTAAAATAGCTGCGGCTTGCTAAGTGATAATGTGTTCCATCTGACTTCTTCTAATACTTATTTACATTAAACTCTTCTAGGATGATGCCACACAGCCTTTGAATCTCTCTGCCAGACCCAAGACAGCGGAACCTGTCAAATCCCCAACATCACCTACCCAGAGCCTTTTCCCTACAAGTAAAACCAGCCCCGTGAACGTGGCCAATAAAAGTGGAATCCCCAGCCCCATTGGCACAACTCTCGGAAGAGGATCTTCTCTAGGTACTCACAAGGGGAGAAATATATTTTGAGTAAAAATGGAGCCTTTTGTGGTCTACATTTTTTTGTCTATCAAGAAATAACAGTTGGTGCATTTCCTAAAATCCTTGAAACTAGCAAGTGCCAGTTGACCTGCCAGCAGTTAGTCAGTGGCCCACAACTGCCGTTGTAATTTGGAAGAAGTTGCTGATTTCTAAAGGAGTATTTCAAGGTGGTTTCTTGATCCTTTTAGTCTCCCTGCCAAACACATACCGAGAACATCTCACACTGATCACCTGTTCTGCACAACAGGAGTGGGTAGCAGATGTATCTAGATCTCCTAGTTGATCTTAGCATCTAGGCTTGTGACTCTAGCTGTTTAAGATAGCTGTTACAAAATGACCGTACACCCCAGTTGTACTGCTAAAACGAAAGGAAATTGGTGGTAATCAATGGATGGTTTTGTATGTTGATGGACTGTGGCCTTTGTCTGTGGTGGCACTCAGAACTAATTTCCGAGATCTGTTTTTTTTTAATCCTAAATGTAGGGTTTTCTGCTCTTGGCTGCCTTATAAAGTGAAGGAGATCTCACAAGCCTGAAATCTGTCCATGTCTGCTATACAATGTCAAGAAGAAAATACGGTGGTACAATCCACCCAGAAACGCCATAAAAAGATCCAGCACACTAGTATTCCTCCTCAGGTTTTCTTTAGCTCAAGGCGGTGCCCTAAGAGTAGGAAGGTCATTTCAAAAAAGAGATATGCCTTAATTTTCAACATAAGGGTGAAAAAGCTCTTGTAGCCACTCTGTTTCTGGTCCTTGCACTGTTGTAACCAGTATTATGGGACAAGACGGTTTCTATTTAGCATTGATATCAAAGGGGCAAAAGAATATAAGTATTCTATGTTATATATAAAATCCAGTTTTTATTTTTACTAGCAGAACATTTATATAAAATGTTTACATATGCACATACTAAGGGTGGATGGATTTGTTCATTGTAATTTCCCTAGGCTTCTTATTTTCTCAATCATTCACAAAAAATTACATGCATTGTTGGTTGCATTTTCTTGTGATATACATACTTACACAAGAAATTTTATCTGCTGTTTTATTTACTTGGATTTTATTCTGCCATCCCACTAATATGTGTATATATAATTATTTTTAATAATATATGCATTTTTGTGTGTAGTTCCCCCTAATATGTATATTACGAGTAATGTTTTTGTATGTTTGCAAAACATGAAGAAACGTGCATTTGGTGTTTTAGTTAAAGGTGTGACTTGATTACATTTGCTTTAACATGTGACCCAGACGAATTTCTCCTACATTCCTGCTATACTGTCAGATCCCCAGACTGGCTAAATACAGAACCATTCTGCTTCTTTAAGAGAGTTGAGGCTACATGGGCTTCGGTTGCTCTTTTCTTCTGTTGTCAGGTCACATCCTGCTGCACTAACAATTACCTGCTTGCCAGAGATGGCAATGGGAATGACTCTTAATAGAATCTATTAAGGTTCTGCAGGCTGGATAGCTCAGTGGTTTAGGTATCTGGCTGCAGAATCAGAGGTTGGGAGTTCGATTCCACTGTGCCTGCTTGTGAGTAGAGTCAGCCTGTTTGGCTTTGTGCAAGCTGTACTGCCCAGTCCCAGGGCACCTCCAGAGAATGGAATGGTAAATTCTGAGTATCCTCTGCCTGGAAAATTCAGAATTGACTTGACAGTACTTGATTATTATTAATAATAAGGTTCTGTCCCTGTCCCTAACAAGAGGCCCCTGGTGATCTCTGGCACTAGCTCCTCTTCAACGTCGCTGTTGCTGGCTGTTCATAGTCCCAACTTTTACTGGGAGAAAGGAAAAGGAGCCGCCACTGCCATTCATCTTTCCTTTCCCTACCAGTGTAGTATGGATTAGACCCAGAGGAGGAGGGCAGGTGAACAAGCAGTGCTGGCAGCACACTCAAGGAAGAATGCACCAGTGAAAACTTACAGAAACTTACCTCCCTCCTGCTAATCAAGTAGTCACACGTAACTCCTGTTAATAGCTTGGCTGAACAATTTTAGTTACTCTTCATATCCTATGTAGCAGACATTGAAGTAATCTGGATGTGATGTGATGGAGGTATGTGTGACCCGGGCCAAGTCTGCATTCTTTACGAATGAGTTTAGTTCAATCAGAATACTGATGGGTTTTTTTTTTTAATCCTTTGGTTTAAACATAGACAGCTCTTCCAATACACTAATATTTTCTATTGTAAAATCTATCAGTGAGAGGAACAGGAGATTATTTCACACCTGAACCATGATCAGAGTGGAATCAAAATGTATTGTCTCAGTTTATTTACACCTTTCTGGCTTACATTAAAGTGATAACACACATAGTCTTAAACACATGCTGTAACATGCCATCCCATGACTAGAGAATTTTGAATTTAGTATGGTCCTCAACAACAATGAAAGACTAATTAAATTTTGCATAGTGTTTAAAGCAGTGTCTCCTGGAGCTTGGAACCTGGTAGCTTTTACATTACTGTTTCAAGAATTAATTTATCAGGCAGGTATCATTCAGTAGATGCTCTAGGAGGAAAATAACTATCACCCCCCCTTTGCTTTTTCAATAGCAAAATCCTAAATTACTAAGGAAGTATTAAGTGATATGGTAAAATACAAAGTAAGGTCACATTCTGTGCACTAAATTCCAACTAGAGTGTGCCCACTGAGTCAATGGGATCTACTTATATGCTGATTTAACAAAATCCATCCATTGATTCAGAGGATCTGCTCTAGTTGGGATAAGTTATTGGATTTGACTTGTGTCCTCTGTAGGTGAATATAGTAGCCAGGAGCAAGGCAGTATATGGGGTTTTACCTAATTCACAGGATTGTATGGCAGTAAAATAACCAGGAGTCAATTACTTATGTTATCCACAAGAATTCAGAGTAAACAAAACTTCTTAAAAGAAACAAATACAGACTACTAGAGCACGCAGTAAACATAAAACTACTGTATGTCATGCATATATAGGTATAAAATAATTTTGGAAAAAATATGGCTCTGTGTTCAGAAATGATTTCGGAACCTAGGAATAGGCACGATGCAGCTGTTTGAATTCTTGCTGGAAAGGGGGTCACCAGGAGTTGGAATGAACTTGATGGCGCATGGCCAATACTGGCATAGAACTGCATGTTGGGCTTGGAAAGAAGATAGTCTTAATGGGCAGAAAATTAATAAATGCAGAAAATTAATAAATAAGTCAGTCAGTCAGTCTTTTTTTTCCCTTTATGTCTGTATAAGCATACTGTGAGAATTGGTGGCAACCTGTTCTGATCCTTAGGCACAAAATTATTTTAAACCATGGTTTAACTAAAACCACTCATATAACAAATGGCTTTGCTATGCTGATAGCTGTAACGAGATGATTTTCAGTTAAGAACACATCAGTCTGGAAAAGAAACCATCTGAATTGCTGCCCATACCTAATCATTAGTCCTCATGCCAAAGCCAAGACTTCACAGTTTTTTCCCCAATTAGCTACATATGAAATAACTAGCTTGTTAACTCATTTATTGGGCAAGTGGTTATGTGTATTTGCTTGTGCATGTGTGTGCACATGCGAGACAAGCTTCACTTATAACCAAAGAGGACATGTTAATATATTGTTTTAAAATCTGGTTGTTTAAACATGGCCTTAAATGAAGTTATTTCTGTTATTGCTAGACATCCTTTCCAGTCTTAACTCGCCTGCCCTGTTTGGGGACCAGGACACAGTAATGAAAGCCATTCAGGAGGCTCGAAAGATGAGAGAACAGATCCAGAGGGAGCAGCAGCAGCAACAACCACATGGTATGGATGGAAAACTTCCCTCCATGAATAACATGGGTCTAAACAACTGTCGGACTGAAAAGGTACTGTGTTCCTCTCCTGTCATTTCAGCTGCTCCATCTTATTTGAAGCTATTATTCGGCCTCTGCCCTTTTAACCTAATGCAGCCAATTCTACCACACTCTGTTTAAACTTCTTTGGTGCTGGCATAAATAATTTTCAACTATGTCATTTAGCTCCATTAGAAATAAGAAGAACTGAGTATGAATTAACCAGAATAGCTTTGCCACAGGAGAAATAAGGCATAGGCTCCCAGACATACAAATATAAAATATGGTATATATGCTAGGAGAGAGGGCAAGCTTACTTACCTATTTAGTCATGTCCAGTGTACCTAATGAACATAAGAAGAAGCCTATTGGTCCAAGCAGAGACCTCTCTAGGCCAGCTTTCTGTTTACACAGTGGTCAGTGATTTTTTTCTGGTAAGCCCTCTAGCAGGACATGAACCACGTAACCTTCCCCTGCTATTCCATACTCACCAAGCGCTCCGCATTTGGTGGCATATTGTGACTGATCAAGGATTTTGTTTGGTTTTCAGTTGACAGACATTCTAGGGCAACATTACCTAACACACACACACACACACACATGTTTTAAGTGAAGTGGTCACCTTTGAAGCAGCAATGAATTCCATAAATAAATTATGCATCCTTTGAACACAATACTTTATTTGGTTGGTCTTGAACTTATTACCGAGCTATTACGAGGGAAGTAGAAAAACTTACCTTTATTCACTTTCTCCATACCTTGCATAATGTTGTCAACATTGCTAAGTCTAAACTTAGTCATTTGTGTTCTGAACTGAAAGATATCCGACGCTTATTTGAATTGATTTGAAGTTTTATATGTATATATAAACTGATTTTATATATCTCAGTTTCTGCTCCTGAAATAGCTGTAGTGGTTCACATGGAAATGATAATTATCCCCATTGCAAGAGTCTCCACAGCACGTTCCAATCAGTACAATTGATATCCACTTATTTACTACCTCTTCCTTTCACACTTCCCTTCATCTGTCCTCTCTTCTCTCCTTTTTTTTTAGTTGACAGGCGATGCAGAGCTAAGTTCATATGACAAATAATGATCCCAATTGTTAAAGAGTCCAGCTTTGCTGATTACAGCTCACTTCATGCATTCTTGGTTTTAGTTTTGCTTATTTTTTTTAAAAAAAGATACTTCCTATACTGATACATAGGTTCTACTCACAAATTGCAAGCCAGACAAAGATCCATCTGCAAAGAAAGGAAACAGGTACCCTCATTTACCTTCCTCTTTCCCTCCTTCCTCTTCTACCATCCTCCATCTCCTTTTCCTCCACACATCAGTGGGGTGGGGGGAATAAATGGGGAAGAAATCTTTTCCTCCTTTCTCCAATCAGATCTGCTGCAAATTACAGGACAAGTGTTTAGCTGACACAGTGCTGACCTGAAACAGTGCTTAAGTATACAGAACCATAACAAAAATCTTCTATGAAAAGGGGAGAAGAACTCACTGGAGGAGGAGGGGGTGATTCAGATTACCTATCAAAACACATCACATTGAAGACATTACCTAGGACACACCGGTATAGGCAGTTGTACATAACAGAAACTAAAGCTAAGCACTTGCAGGGATAATCACAAAAAGGCATAAGCCCTCTGCCAACAGAGCAAAATACATTAACATGAAAAAGAATGGGGCTTACTCACACCTACTTTTGCATTGTGTCGTTGGCAATAAATGCTACAGTTGATCTACAGTTAATTGCTGCAAATACTGTGGGATAAATTGTAATATCGTCAATCCCTCAAATGAGCAAACAAGCCACAAATATATTCCATCAGAGGCATGTACTTAAGTCATCAAATTCAGAACCATTTCAACTTCCCTAATCAAAGTTTCCCTTTTTGGGTGTAACAGAAAAACTCTTGTTTAAAGTAACCAAGAGAAAAGTTTAAAAAAAAGAGTGAGGACCAAGGAAAGTGCAGAATGCTCATTTACAATTTAATAAGTCATGGTTGAAGTAATTGCATTGAACTGGCGCATGGGCTTCCAATCACTCTGTTTAACTATTTATTTATTTTACTACAGAGTAGATGCACTTCTTTTGGTACACTTGTACACATTAATTCATACATTCAAACTGAAATTTGGTTTTAGTCAGAATTAAATTTAACCATGCAGTTTTTCAAATTGTCAGATACTCTGGTCTGGCCAATACAGAAGACAATGGCATGTTACACAGTAGTGCACAGATTGTAGCTTGCACATTTGGTGAATGAAATAGAAAAGCTGGATAGGTCCCAAGGGGCGATGGGTACAGAAGGTGTTCATAAATATAATGATCCATTGGAACTCAGTTTCTTTGTTGGTTTCTAGATCAAGATTTGCCAGTGCTTCATAATTAGCAATCTCTCTCTGCTTTTAGTGGGTTTCTTTTTAAGTCATGAAGATTACTAGGTGGCTGTGCCCAGTTTACTTTGTTTCTGCTGGATTTACAGTGTTTTTGAGAATATGACTTGCGATAAGGGTCAGTTGTAGAGCAGTAAAGATGTTGGGGAATTGTTTGCGGGGCATACCAGTGAATCCAGCCACATCAAGGAAGTAACTTCGGATTCAGCATGCCTGTTGTTTGCCACCATAGCTTCCTGAAAGTGATTTATGAGAGCTGAGTGACACATTTTCCCCCCAACTGCGACACTAATATACGTATATCGCTCCCATCTTGAACTGTGTAACATGATACTTCTTTTGTGTGTTGCTGTCCATGCAATGAGACTGCATAGAAGTTTTCCCAGTCTCTAAACAGAGTGTCAGAGTTTTTGTTGGTGAGTCAGGGTGGCTGAAGAAGAAACAGGCTGAAGAACTATGGTGCACCTGCATTGTCCCTTGTACGGTGTGGGCCCATTTCACCAGGAAGTGAGTAACGTATTTCGATCTTGTAATGAAGGCACACGTGAATAAAAGCACACATAAGTGAAGGACTGACCAAGTTACAGCATGCTGGGAGAGAGCAAAGTGAGAACCTCTGCTTCATTTTCAACACAACAAAAGCATATAGATTTTTACATTTTGCTTGTATTGACTTTTCCTCCTAATCCAAACAGTATTTGTCAGCAAGCTGAGAATCTGTGGCACTGGCAGCTGTCTTTGAACCATTTCCTCAGGGAGAAAGATAGGGGTCTGAGGATCATTTCGTAGAGTCATATGCACAAAGAGAAAATAACCCTGCAAATAGAAAGAGATGTCTTTTCATTTGCATTTTATATGGTACCTTATTACATTTCTCAGAACAACAAGGGGAAAAGGATCTGTGCTTGCAAAAGCGTTCCCCCCCCCCCGTTGTCTCTAGAGAATTAACTGTGGCTTGCCAAAAACAAAACAAAACAGAACCCTAATAAATATTTATTTTCACAAAGCTTCATTTAAGTGATGGTATTTTAAAACTCACTTAGTAAAGATTACCACTGTGAAAGAATTCTTTGTAACGAAAGTGAAAGAACTGAAGCTTTAATGTGAGGTTTTTTTATTAAGGCCAATCTTGTGCATGAGGACAATAGGATCTGTCCATCCTTCAGACTGCTGACCTCCATTTGGAACTGGGAATTTTTAATATTTTCTCTTTAAGCTTACAGATGAAAAAAAGACTGAAAACAGAGAACTAATTCTACCTGTTTACACCTCTGTACTTGCATCTGTATTATTATAAATAGCACTGGTTATATTGACAGAACATTAAAGATCAAGTTGCTTGATTGTGGGTGGACTAATTCACATGCAGCATGAAGAGTTTTTTTTGTGGGGGGTGGAGATTCTGCTGTCTTGATCATGGGAAACTGGCTTGTTCTGAAAGAAATGGGTGTGCCTCAGCATTTGATTGTCCTGATACACAACTTGTATTGTGGACAAGAAGCCACTGTCAGGTGGAAAATAGAGAAACAGAATGGTTTCCAATAGGCAAAAGCATCAAATGAGGATGCTTTTTAATCCCCTTTTCTGTTCAGTCTGTATGCAGAACATATATGGGAAGCCAGACTAGATTCACTGAAATTGGTGGAAGAAATATCAATCCTTTAAGATATTCAGATGACACTGTCTTACGGGCAGAAAGCAGCAGTGATTTGAAACAACTTTTAGTGAAATTGAAGGAAGGAAGTACCAAAGCAAGACTAGCTGAACATCAAGAAGTTCAAAAAACATGACCACAGAGAAGATGTACACAATTTTGATGTTGACAATGAAGAAATTGAAGTGGTTAGAGATTTTGTTTACCTTAGTTCAATCATCAATCCAAATGGACACTGCAGCCAGGAAATCAGAAGAAGTAGTAATCTTGGAAAGGCAGCAATGAAAGAATTAGAAAAGATCATCAAGTGTAAGGATGTGTCACTGGAGATGAAAGCCAAGGTAATCCATACTATTGTATTTCCAGTCATCACATATGGGTGTGAAAGCTGGATAGTAAAGAAAGCTGACATGAAGAAAACTGATTTGTTTGAAATGTGGTGCTGGAAGAGAGCTTTGTGGATACCATGAAGGCAAACAAGGGGCCATAGATCAAATCATACCTGAACTATCTCCGGAGGTAAAAAGATTGAAACTGAAGCTGTCCTGCTTTGGACACTTCATGAGAAGACAGGATTATCTGGAAAGACAATAATGCTGGGAAAGGTGGAAGGCAGAAGGAAAAGAGGAAGACCAAATATGAGGTGGATTGACACCCTAAGAGGAAATCACAACCTTGATTTTGGAAGAGCTGAGCAGGGCCTTTGAGGACAGAACAGTCTGGAGTTTGCTCACTCATACAGTTGTTATATGTGAGGGAAGATTTAATGGCATGTAAGAACAACTGTCTTGACAAAAGTAGAATGTTCACACCTCTTGAGATTTGCTGCAAGAAGAGCTTCACTGTGCCTCAATAATTTCCACATGGCATACATACATTTTAAAATGTAAATGGCTAAAATGCATACATTTCCTCCCACAATAAGCGTCCTTTTGTTGTGGGAGGAAGTAAATTAAGAAAAACGTGTAACAAAA